TAGCCGATTTCTACAAATTCCTTTGTTTATTTCTGTGTCGGTTAAACATTTTATGTTTTGTTTTACAGTACCTGAGGTGCTCCAGTCGTTTGTTCTTATTGTTGGTTTGGAAAAGTTGCTAATTTATAGAACGAAATAATCTTGTTTGTATGTTATTAGTTCTCCATGTCCACTTTGTTCTTATCTGTGCACAGTGCTGCACCCTTAATTCGTTCAGTTGCTTTTTTAATTATATAATAATTCGTCTTTTTGTACTTGTACAGTCTGTTCCGTTTTTTGGGTTTAATAAGTCTTAGTATGATTTTCACATTTCTGTTTCATTCGTTCATTTGTCTTATTAATTTGTCGTCATGTGTATGCTTGTACAGTCTGTACAATTATTTGTATATTAATGTTACAATTATATTTTCTGATTGTAGTGTTAAAGTGGGCAATAATAATTATGGACTATTTTGTCCCCGTTTTTCATCCATTCTTTGGCGCTTAAGGACCTAAATATCCTCCCTTAGCGGCCAGAAATTCGTTAAGTCCTAAACTCACAACTTCCTGAGGTCGTTCAATTAACGACTTTTGTGACGAACAATTTAAGAACGTTTATTTAGTATTACGTTTTGTTAAATTTCTGTCCCATGAAGCCCATTGGCTTTTTGAATTTGTATTTTGTTACAGCTCGTTGACTATTTTTGTGACACTTTTTGGATTGCGCACGTGTTTCCCGCTTTTAAAAGCCCTACAGTCCTTTCGATAACGAACTAACCAACTGTGCCAAAGTGTTGATCATCATACGGCATTATCACCTATGTCGTCATCCTCCCAACGATTTTCGTGCTTTTTTCGGAACTCCCCTACGCAACTGCATAATTAAAATATTGGTATCTAAAGTCAGAAATTGACAAGGAATGTAAAATGTTTTTGTTTTAGATTCCGGATGGAGTTGTTTGTAGTGTGTTTATATGCAAAAATAATTCAGAAAAAGCAAAGGAGAGTGCAGATAAACTGTCTTTTTTTTTCTTTTCGAAAGGACTTTAAGGCTCAAAAAATGGATAAGAAAATGTTATCGCAAAAATATATGATATGTTGCAAATAAAAGAATTTGTAGCAAACATTTCAAACCACACGATTTTGAAGATGCGCTGCAGGCTACAATAACGAATACACATGAAAAACGCCTGAAGCCCAATTCTCGAAACTGGGAACGGCGATCGCATGAGAAAAAAGGGCGTGGTTCTCTCGTGAAGCGAATATTGGTATTCTTGAACACGAAAAGTGGTGTGATTTCGGTTCGAACTCGAAATAATGAATTTCATAAATAAAACTTTACAGTGTTTATAAAATAAGGAGCAATTTAAGAGATTTTCTAACAGAGAGTAGAGCGAGCTTGTATGGAATTGTTCTCAACAATCTTCAAGGTAAGTTTTTGTGTTTCGAATCGTGTCTTGTAGTAGAAACTATTCTAGTATTACTGAATTAACTTGTCGATGCAGAGAAACTGAAGAAAAAGAAGAAAATCCTCCACGGCAATTCCAGCAACCCATGAACGCTATGGAAATAAATGAAATCAAGTTCGTCAAGCTTTTTAGGCTGAATAAGAGCTGGTGCTCCAATTGATAAAAAAGTTGACGCCCTATCTTCAAGCA